TTCTCGCGGCCGCTCTCAATCACGAGGCAATACATCTCGCCGCAATTCCACAACCCGTGGAAGATCCAAGTTTCGTCCTTAGAATGCCGAATTTTAAACTATGGACATAAGTTCATACCAACTCCTACCTCAAAACAACGCATGGACATCACTATACCGGAAAACCCCACAATGGCCCGATCTTTGGATGACTTAGAACGCCGCTATAATTTACTGTTTAAATTTGGCGGAGGCGGTCGTTCAAAAGTCGTCAGGATCCCAAACCCAAACTACCAACCACCACCCGTCCCAACAACAAAAGCCTTTATAAACTCCCTTAAAACTAAAATATCTTCTAACTATATCCCTACGCCACACTATAACCTAACTATAAGGGAGAAAAAAGCCCTTCATAAGTTAGCTAATAACAAAAACATAGTGATAACTTTGACGGATAAAAACTTAGGACTAGCAATTACACCCTATAACGAATATATTGCTGCTATGGAAAATCTACTAAACACAGAAGATTATGAAGTTGTAAATCAAACAGAGGAGGAATGTATAAACATTATGCAATCACAAATCTTTAATCTAACAATGACTATGGATGAAAAACATAATAACTACTTCCTTCCGGAAGAAACACAACTTCCCTTTTTCCATATACTTCCTAAAGTTCACAAAAACCCGTTAAAATGGCGACCCATTGTAGGAATGCACTCATCACCTACAAAACGAATATCTGTTTTTCTAGCACAAATTCTAAAAAATTGGATGGAGGAATTAGAAAAATTAGACCCAGAAAATTGGACACCACTACGAGATAACTTTCAACTTATTTTTCAACTTGAGAAAAATAATAATAAATTTGAAAAAGTCATAACTGGTGACTTCGAATCATTATATACAAAGTTTTCTCACCAAGAAATTCTGGAGTCTATTGAATATATAAACAATAATATCCTCAAAATTCCAATTCACTATGGCTTAAATTTCTCCAAATATAAATATATGATCAATACGGTCATAAGCTTTAACTACTTTAAAGCCTTAGGAAAAATTTACAGACAGAAAAACGGAATAGCAATGGGTACAAATGCTGCAGTTCAAATAGCACAACTAACATGCTATGCTCATGAACATAAAGCAATCAAAAAAGGAATATTTGAAAATATATTCTTTAGAAGATATATTGATGATATTATTATTTTGGGAAATAATATAAATGAAAGGCAAATAGAGAAAATTTATCCGAACCATCACAAAATAAACTGGCAACACTTGGATAACGATACTAAAGCAAACTTTTTAGATTTAGCTATCGAAATAGTAGAAAAACAAGTGTTAACCAAAAGATATTCAAAGTTTCCACGACTTGCATCCTTTGTACACTACAAATCAAATCATAGAATGTGTATGAAAAAACAAGTCGTCACTAATGAATTATCAAGGATTGCTCTCCTCTGTTCTAAAAAATCGGATTACCAAAAAGAAAAAATTGAACTTTTCAATTTTCTAACGGAATATAAAGGATACCCAAACTATATCCTAAAAGAAACCGACTCAATTAACTGGGAAGACAGAAAAAACAATCTGCTTCTAATAAATTTAAAACGAACAGAAGAAAAACCACTCCCTCCTATAATTCTACGAATACCTTACGACACAATACTATTTAAAACAAAGAATTACTCCAAGATTTTACAAGATTCCTATAATGAAACTCTAGGACATCTACAAATACAAAAGCCAGTCTTATGTATAACTAACATGCCATCACTAGTCAGAATCCTTGCCCGGTCCTCAACTGGGCACCCTAACCCTATCCCTAACCCTAACCAAAAATATATGACGACTACGGACATGTGACCAAAAAACGGATAAATTCAAATCTAAAAATAGAACTCGGTTAAATTAATTTCCGATATCGGAAATTTAATTTAACCGAATTACGGAATTTTAATTTACC